AGCTATATAGAGATTTTATTGTATCTTATTTATATTTTATTTTTACTGAAGTAACCTCTAAGTTATCCCTTCTAGGTGAGCAGACCCGACTAACGACACTTTTCCCCAAATTTTTTTTTGACTTTGCTATCTTTAGCTAAAAGTGATTACAACTTATAAATATTCAAGTTCAAATTCAATTTTCATATATATTTTTTCCATTTCTCTATTGAATTAAAATTATTCCACTTTCACTACAAACCACTTTACGTATTCTGTATGCCCTCTGCATTGAAATCAAAGTGAAATGTCGAGTAATGGAAATGAAATTGGCAAAAGCGACGCACATTTTGCACACATTTCAATTAAAATTTTGTTTATGAATTTTAATTGGCATTTGCTTGGCGAGCACGCGGCGTATGCGCGATGTCTTCGCTGCTGTAAGCCAATGCACATAAAATGCCTGTCTGTCTGTCTATCTATATATGTGAGTGCGTGTGTGTGTGTGTAACAGAGAGATTGTGTGCGTGCCCAAGCTGCTTTTTATCATCAGCGCCAGCTAATGGGCCACTCTATCTGTCCAGCTGCCCGTCCGTCTGTTTGTCCATCCGTTCGTCTTGTCTGTCATTCGTTTCGTGTAAGTTGGCTTTTGATTGCCGGCCTTTCAGCGCGTATTTTATGCAATTTACTCAACGGGTTATGGCAAATTCGCCTGGCCTGCGCCTTAATAGTGTTCGCTCTTGTTGGCCCCTTGAGGCCCAACGAACCGATTCAGTTGCTTAATTGCAGCGTATTTCTTCTCCTGCTGCTCCTCCTCCTCCTTCTACTGCTGCTGCTGCCGGTGCTTGAAGTGTTTGTCTTTACCAATAATAGTTGAGTTCTCGCAGCAAGGGCTAAAAGCTCTTTAATTGCTTAACTCGATTTATGCAGAGACTTTTTGAGCGAATTGTAATTTCCATTGTGTCTCAATTAAATGGAATCTTGAAAGAGTTTTTATTTACAATTTTCTCTAGAAATATGAGCATTGTAATGGAATCTGTAATGGAATAGTATAATAAAAACGTTTGATGTTCAATTTCTGCAGGCTCTTATTTTTTTTTTTTTTTTTTGAGGCACAAAATGTAATTTCAAAGACAAATTTAAAAATTAATTTTTAATTAAATTAATTAAAAAAAAATTGTATTCATATTTCCCTTTTAATGCATTTTATTTTTTTTATATATTTAATTAAATTATTTATAAAATTTCCAATAATATATAAAAGATAATTAATTACTTAATAAATTGAAAATTTTTTATGAATTATATATTTTATATTATGTAAATTTATTAGCCAAGCCATTCCAATGCTTCTGGGCTTCAATTTTTTGCTCTTCATTTTAATAGCAAATGTCAAACAAGATTTTATTTTATTTCGCTCTTCAAACTTGATTTATGCTAATTTTATATTTAATGCGTTAAAGCTAAAAAAAAAAACATAAAAAATTGTTATTTAGTTTTTAATGCGTTGCCATAAAAATGAGAGTAAAAATAAAAAACAAAAAATATAATATAATCGCAACCCGTGCAGTTCCCCAGTGGCCGAAATGCTGAAATGCTATGCAGACGTTGCGCATACGACGCGTTGAACCATATCAAAACAAGCTGCAGAAACAAATCGAAATCTTGTTTATATGCAGCGAAAACAAACATTCATACACAATGTATGCATTTTAAAGTGAAAATCATTTTGACGAATGTTAACAGTAGTTTTTCTTAATAATTTTGTTGGATTTTTCAATACTTTCTATTCTTTTTTTCAAATTTTTCTTTTTTGATTTTTTTTCGCTTTCTACGCGTTGAGCCGTGGCACAAGGTCGCCGTCGCCTGTCGGCGCGAGAAATATTATGGCTAACCAAAAGATAAAATATATATATATATCTGTATCTGTATCTATATATATATATGCATTGGGAACAGGTCTGCTAGTCGATTTTTGGCCAACTGTTTGTCTGGCCGTTCGTCGCTTTGTGCGTTGCGTTGTGACGCGCTTTTTGCCATTGACACGCAATAAAAATATATGTACTTAAAAATTATAAAAATTAAGCATTGATAATGTGCACATTATATTTCTTTTATTAATTTATATATTTTTAGGATTCTTTGTTAGAGAACCTATTTATTGTTTGAGCGGCGTCAAGGCTAAAGCAGAAGCAAGTTCTATGTGAACAAGCTGACTAATTCCTAGCTTTAACTGCTGATGTTCTTATACCTTTTTTTTTTATTGAAAATATACGTACATATATTATTCATGCTAAAATTAAAATGAAATTGTCTTTATATCAAGCATTTTATTAACAAATCTCTTTTAGCCCATTTCATTTTAATTTATTAACTTATAAAAATCTTAAGCTTTTAAGCAAATAAAGTCTATAAATTAATTATGATTTTGAATAATTTTTCTTTAGGTATTTAAGTAGCCTTAGTTATAACTGGGGATCAAAGCACATGACTAAAGGAGTCCCAAATATATGGATTTTTTTTAAATAATAAAATAATTGATAAATAAATAAAAAAATTTATAAATTATAAAAAGTTGTAGTTATTTGACATCACAATCATCTGGCTAATAATTATATAAGTTTATATTATGAGATATAATAATACAAGTACCTGAAGTGTGTTATAACATATAAAGCTATCCACCAAACTTTTTAAACCAAATGACTCCAACATCTAATCAAAATCAATTTCGTGTTTTTTTGAATCACATTTCTTTAAATAAACTTAATTTATGGAGATTATTAAAATTTTGAATATATTGAAAATAGGAAATTTAAATTTGCAGAATTTTGAAGAGCTTATCTAAAATTTGACAAGCCATAAACAAGCTACAAAAAAAATTAAGCGAAAGCAATCAAAATGCACAAATTTTCTACAGATTTTGTTTCTAATTGAAATTAGAATAATAAATATTGTTGGACGTCAACTGTTGCCACCTGATGATGATACAGGTTTGATTGCTCTATATGTAGGTATATTGCCCTGACTGCATATACATAATTCGCGTTCAGATCCTAACTGAAAATTTTTCTTTAATGTTATTTTCGTCTGTCGTGGAAAGACGTGGAAAATATTGCGTAGGTGTTTTGTGTTGTCTTTCACTCACTCACTCACTATCTGTCTCTGTCTCTGTCTCCCTCTTTCTGTTCTCTTTGGCGTCTCCTGTGCTCCTCCTGAGTGCTGAATTTTATTTTTGTTTTTATATACTTTTCGGCTTCTTCTTCTTTATTTAATAAATTATTAATTTTCGCTCACACACATGACATGAGGACGTAAATGCAAATAAGTAAAGTCTACAAAAAGTTAAGAAAGAAAAAAGAAAAAAAAAAACAAAATGAAAGGAAAATTCTATATAGTATAAAGTAGCTGAATAGCTGATATAAAGATATATTTTTATATATGTATATAGGTATAGATATTTGAGTGTATATCTGTTGGCTATTCGCACGATATTTGATTGAACATTATTGGTCTAATTTATGTACCTGGGCCCAGACCAACGCACAGAAAAGGATGACACAAAATTTAGCAAGAAATCCAAAAATATATTTTGATTTCATTGCTTGGAAAAGTACCGAAAGACAACAAACGGATGGAAGGCTGTGAAGGTGGCAAAGCCATATAAACGACTCAAACAGGCTACACACTGATATATAAATATAGAACCAACATTAACAATCGATAAACTCTAATTGTTATGCTAATCAAGTCGAAGTAATCATCCAGTAATTAGTGCGACGCAGTTGAAGTGCCCCATAGAAACCGGCTTCAGCCGGTGCCAATAGCCGACCAAGAACATTGTCAGGTTTCGCCTATGTATTTGACAGATCTCTCTCCCTCTCTCTCTCTCTCTCTCTCTTTCCCCTTTTTTTCTCATATTTATATACCCTATGCACGTGATTGTTGTTGAAGCTATTGTGTTTGGTTTTCACTTGATTTTGTTATTGTTATTTGTTTTCTTCGTTTTCCTTTCTGTTTTAGTGTTTGGTTTTTCTTTATGTTTGTTTCGAAATGCGTTTTTCTGTTTATTGAATTGACAATTTGCTTGTTGTTTTTATTGCTTTTTGCTAAACGATCTTCAATGAGAGCGGTTTAGCAAGTAGTATATATGTATATATGTATTAAATGGAAATTCCTTAAAGCGTTCTAGCGTGCATAGAGAATTATTCTTGAAATAGATCTCAAGTACTTAAGTATGACTCAAGGATGATATATGAGCTTTTCAAACTGGGCGTGCCTGACTGGTAGATACCCTAAATTCGAATTCGTCTAAGAAGATACCCTATGAGTTAGTTATATACGGCTCTATAAAATGTGAGTTTCTATCTGAGTCTTAACTTCCTGTTGACTCAATTTCTAATCACAACAAATTTAAATTCAAATCATAAATTTCGCTCACTTAGTCACGCTGAGTCTAGTTAAGCACATCCGGTTCGTGGGCAGCATTGAGGAAATTATCTGTTTTCAAACTGATTTAAGATGTGATAGAAATTTGACGTCAGCTATGCGAAAGGTTACTGGGAATTGCAATCATAATATTATGATTAGCATTACTTATTGTTGCAATACACCTCGTGTTCCCGAAACTGAGCAGATAAAATGCCAAAAAAAGAGATTAAACAGTGCACTCTTCACGCAACAATTGTTTCAACAGTTTTTATTTATTTATTTAAGCACCGACGCTCACTTGTTTTTATTTATTTATGTTCGTTGTGTTTCCACTTTTCTGGCTCTTCAGCCACAATTAATCGACCCTCAAAAGTGGTCGCTACCACAGATATAGCATACTATTTTAGCGAGTAGCAGAAAGTGGTTTGCTAATTGGTACAGCCAACTCATGGGTATATAGGGTATATTTAAGTTGTTGTCAAATTGTGTATGAAGTGTAAAAAAAGTACACTGGTTAGATGTAGTCCACAGATATGGAAAACATGTATTAATTTTTTTCATTTAAAAAATTAAAATGGAAGTACAGCGTATTGATATTTCAATATATACATTTTTGTATTTAAATTCAAAATTTTATTCCGAGCGAATCATCTTTCATACAGTTTAAGTATAAGAAGCATCACTACTGCGTAATTTGTGTGCATATTTCTATACATATAATAAATATCAATTATAATCTAAAATGTTCGGTTCAGGGTATTTGCTAGTCGAGCAGTGCCCGCAACAGGTGCCCTCCGCTCGGTCAATACGTTCAACGACTTTTCCAGCGACCCTTTAAATAAATCAGAAATATAATTTATGCTGATCGGCTGGCGTGTAATACATTTGTAAGCCATCTCAACAGTTTTTACGATCCTTACAATATTATGATTACATTTTTGATTAATGTTTATATATTTTCGCTTGGCTTTTGCGTCGGCGCTTGCCTTGACCTTACCTTGAAAGCCGGCAGCAACAACATTTTTACTTTTACAACACTACAATTTGTTCTCTCTGCATTTTTATTTTTTCTGTCTTTTTTTTTTCGCGTAATTAAGAATTTTCGAATTTTACCTATAGCTGCTGCTGCTGCGGTTGATGTTAGGCGCGTACTATTTTTAACAAATTTATTTACAAACATTAAATATATCATTAAAGCGGAACTATTTAAATAAATTATGGAAAATAAAGCGCCGCGTGGGCGTCAACAACATGTACGTACGTAAGTATACGTATATCTATATGTTGTACACAGCCAGCAGTCACTGTTGCTGTCGGCGAGTGTGAAAAGTTTTGTAGCATTTCTCTGAGGCCTCATTAGCCCTGACATGCACTTGATGCAGGGCCGCTTGTCAGTTCTGCTTGTTGTTTTTCTTGTTTTGAGCAAGTGTCTCGAAAGATTAGGCCAGGTCAAGTTAGCTCTCTCTCTCTCTCTCTCTATCTCTCTCTGGCTCTTTCCCTCGCTATTACTTGGAGTGCTGTCGTCTATCCATACTGTGTACACGCCTCTCTTTGCTAAAAATATATTTAGACATTGCCTGCTGGACCCAGTGGCCAAACAATCAAAGAATTATACGATCTTTTATAAATAAACCTAAAACAAAAAAAAACAAAAAATCAATTAGATATATATGAATGTACTTATATAAGTATATAAGTATATATTCTACATACTCTACGTTGCGTCGCATAAAAAAATCAGTTAAGCACGCGAAACACACACACACACACACATATATATATATATATATATATTTATATATATATATATATATAAATAATTTTTTTTTTGTTCTATACATTTATATATACATAGCTCATTCTATTGCTTATTATTATTTTGTTTTATTTATTTTTTATTTTTTTTTTGTATTTTTATTGTTTTCCTTTTACTTGCTGTCGTTGTGGGGGCGCAACGGAAATTTCGTTTTACACTCACTTTATACTACTTAGATATTTGATTTTATTATATTGTTGTTTTTACTAGGCGCAAATGCGCAAACGGAAGACTTTGTCTGGCAATTAATTGTGGTTTGAGCTATATTATAATAGTGAGTAATCAATAGATGTATTACTTGAATATACATATATTACATTCAAATTGATTAAATTTTTTATGAATTAAAAAAAAAAAAAATAAATAAATACTTTAAATGCAAAATTTTAATGCTAACAATTTGAAATTATATATATATATATTAAATTTTATATAGATTGATATATAGATTATAGATTGATATTTGATTTCAATATAGTTTTTACAGTATCTCAAAGTTGAATATTTGTTTATTTATAGTGTAGAAATCTATTGATCTTTACTAAATAATGTACTTGCCACTCTTTTAATATTTGGCATTAATAACTGCTGAAAACTTAAAAAACTAAATAAATTGCGAACTGATAAATTGCAATAAATTTGGTTTTAACAAAAACAAATGGCTTTTCGGCTTTTTATAAATAAACATAAGTTATTAATTGAAAATATTTATTATTTATTAAAACTTTCATACTCAATAATAAATAATCTTCTCCACACATTTTGCAAGTTCTATTAAAAATTTATCATAGATCTATCAAATTTATCTAAATCTAAAGCATTTGCACTTTAAGCCAAAAACTTTTTCAAGTACAAATGTATAATACATAAAAATGAGCTGCTAATCGTAATCGTAATCACCATTACAATTACTATCGAAGCATAGAAAATCGTAATCGCTAGACAGAAAACCAAAAAACAAAAGCAAACTAAATTTTTGCTTTCCAAAATGTAACAAAAAACTTTTATTGTTGACCTAAATTCGAAAAAGTGTAAACAATTTGTGCTGTAAATAGAGAGTACTTAAAAAAACACAAGAAAAGTGGAAATCTCTATAGTATATATGTATATGCTAGACTATAGTTACACGATCGCTTTTTTGTCTGATCTAATGTTGAATCAATGTTTAATGAGCTCGGCCACATCAAAAGTTAAAAACCTAATCGCATTGCGCCATAAACCAGAGAAATATCAATTGTAACATAGATGTGCTATGGATGTATGTATATATGCCAACTCATACTATATATATATACATATATTGGTTGGCTCGATATCGCAGACAGCACGGCCGACGTCTGTTGAGTGCGTTACGTGCTCTGACTTGGCCAATTTATCATTTAATTGTGGCCAAAGTACTATACTGCCCCGACTTCTAGCAGCAAATCAGCTATATTTATATACATATATATACCTATATCTATATATACAGATATAGAGATATATTTGTGCGTGCCCATAGGTATTATTTGTATAATAATAAAACTACAACTCGTTGGAAGACGCCCGCGCGGCTGCCTCGCAGCATCCATACACATTTAACACTGCATGCGTGTGCGTGTGTGCGTGTAGATGTGGCACGCCGACCGACAACGACTCGCCAATTGACGTCAGCAATGCCCCCAAAGTCACAAACTGTGGCGAGCGGGTTGCCAAGCAGGCGAGACGAGGGCCGAAAACGAATTTTACCCCATAGCAGGAGCCCCGTTCCGATTGGAGAGGTGAGCGGGGCGAGAGAGAGACAGAGACAGGACATAGAGAGAGATAGAGAGTGAGGTGGGGGGCTGACGGGTGGTAGGGTGCTGGCGCGCAGTCATTTTGGCAGTCAGTCATACAATTTGATGCTGTGCCACCTACCCTATATATATTGTGCCATTTGTTCATGCCTACCAAATGGGTTAGCATAGCTATGTGATGTGCTTAGCGACAGTTAAGCTTTTAGTCAAAAATTATAAATTTTACTGGCAAGAATATCTATCCCAATATGTAAACAAAATAAATTATAATTATAATTAAATGTAGATACATTTTTGATGATTTCATTTTATTTTTTTATTTAATATTTTAAATGAACTCTATGCTAATCCACTACTAAAAATGTAATTTTCAAATTCATTTAAAATTATTGGTCAATTTAGTATTTTATTTATTTAATTTAATAAATTATATTATTTAGAATGATTTTACCTACAAATTTTATGTGCACATTAAATTAATTTGATTTTACAATATAATTTTACAATTAATAAACTAAACAAATTAATTATTAATTAATTTCATTTAATAATATTAATTAAAGACTTTATAATTTAATTAATTACGGTATTAGCTCCTTTCACATATTAAATAAACTAATTAATTAAATTATTAATTAATTTAAATTCTTTTATGTAACTAGTTCATTCATTCATTTTAATACTTTCAAAGCATTGATTAATAATTTAAATAATACATTATAATTTTTGTATGCAAAGAGTATACAATATTCCACCAATCGAATAGTTTCTTTTGCGTTTTGGATTTTACGGTCTCAAGTATATCTCATGCGTAGTGCAGGTCGATCTCCTGACGCCATTCTCTTCTTCTTCCATCTCTAGTTGTTGTTATTTTGTGCAATTGCATTTCACAATTCGAAACTAACTATCCGTCCACCAGTCTGTCTGGCTGTCCGTCCATTTGTTGGCCCACTATTTGGTATTGCTTTTCAGTTCATTTATAAGGAAATTTGTGTTTATTTTAGCAGAACGAAAAATGCATTTTTTGTTCGCCTCCGTTGACCCTTTTGACGGCATCTATTCTTGGCATGCAAAGTGTTTGCGCTTCTATTTCGTGGTCTTGTTGCTTGTTGGCCAGATAATTGAAATTGGCTTAACGTATTTCCACTTGTGTTATATTCATATGCCCAAGCAGCTGTGCCAGTCCGGGACCTGTGGAGGTGGGCGGCGGGGGCGTGCGGCTCCTTGGTTCGAAATAAAAGTGAAAGTTTGATTTATGAGCACACGCAGGCGGCTGACCGCTAGCCGCTGGCTGATGGCTCTTAATGATTTATAATTAGTTTCGTGAGCTTTTGTTTTCCCTATGTTCTTTTCAAGAGACCGGGATTTGTTGGCCCCTGGCCTCGAGCCAATCGATTCTGGAACGGAAATAGAAATTTAAATTGAAAAAATTAGAGTAGTAGTACTAAAAATCTCACTCAATAGCCTATATAGATATTATATACAGATGTCTCCATGCTGTGCCGGGTTAATGGGCTCAATTTTGTTCAGATTGTGGGCCATCGTCTCGTGAGTGGTTGTGACGCAAATGTGTGCGTGTGTGTGAGTGCGAGTGTGCTTATAACTGATTGATTGATCTATTAGCTAATTGACTAACTGAGATATACTTTGTTTTATTGCATTGTTATTCGCAATAGGTATAGCAATAGGTGCTAATAAAAATTTTACTAGAATTTGATCATAGATTGAAGATTGAGAAAATCGCATTATAGAATAAAATATGATTGGGTCATCATATATACATCTATAATAGTCGCCCATTTTATTTCTAGTAATTCCATTTACAGTTTGTAATTTTTGAACAGCTCGTAATTCACAGTATCTTTAACTTGCCGAACAACTGTAAACACGATTTCCCTAGCAAGCAGTAAATTCATAGCCCCCTCAATGCATTTTACACATACTTTCAAAAAGAAATTAAATGAAAAGAATCTAAGAAAAACCTGAACATTTCTTCGATCGACCATTAATTTGTCTGAATATCCAAATATTTTCATAGCTGTGTAAAATGGCAAGAAAAAAAGATCGAAACGAAACCTAATTTCTGTGTGTTGGCGGCGACATAAAATGAAAATGCGAACGAGCGAAAAACAATTTTCCAAATCTGAAATCCAAAATCACATTACACCCTATAAATGCCTCCAGTCTGGCAGACTCTCGCTGTCTGCTGAGTTGCTGTCTCATTTATGGCGAAAAGCAAATGATTTTCCGCACTGGCCATATATTAAATCAAATGGCAACATATTAAAAACAATTTCTTAGAATTCCCAGAAACCCGATTCGTGACTAACTAAATCAAAAAAAATGAAAAAGAAAAGAAAACCAAAATAATAAGTGTCTGACGTCCATAGCCGAATGATACTTCAGATTTGCGCAGGTTTTGCTTTATAATTTCTTCCCCGAGTTTTTTTTTATTCTTGATTGTTTTTTTTTTTTTTCTTGCAAACATCAGACAACGCGGCGACATTTGAGTTTTTGTTCGGCGTGGGCGTCGATGTGGGCGCGGGCGTGGCACACCGTTCGAGGGCTGTAAAACAAAGCGATTTTCTATGTTAAATAATTCGAGCCAAGTCAACAACAAATGGCACATAAAAAGCTAAAAGCAAACATGTTCACATCAAAAGTCTCTTATAAATCATAAACAAAAATTATGAATATATATAGAAATATCTGGATACCGTACCATATGAATATATTTTTTGGCCAATATTCACTTCTGTTACTCTATATGAGATGAGGGCAATTGCTTATTGGACAGTCAAAAAATAAAAATAACTGACTCTGATACCACGCACCTGTCTTTGGGCAACAGGTTAAGGTCAATATTTGATAAAATGCATATTTTCTTTCTCTTGTGGTTTTTTGATCAAAGACATTTTTAACATTCCTCAAATCGTTTTGTCGATTTTTTGATATCATGTGAAAAACATTTTCGTTTCAATCAACATTTAGAAAAATAATTTATGGCATTAAGAAGACAGACAACGTTTGGGATATGTTGGAAATTTCTCTATGTTTGAAATGGGTTTAGGCTGGAATATTGTAATACCGTTGGTATCATGTTTTCCTAACATCCTAAGCATAAGAATTGTAAGTGCTCTTGGCTTAACTAGGGAATACTATAAAATACTATAAATAATAAAAAAAATAGATGTGCATATAGTTTATGTATAAATCTTGATAAATTTATATACATTTTTGCTTGATTCTAAAAATCATATATATACTATTTCCTAGTCCATACTTTTTACTAACAATTATTTTTCCCTCTTATTTCTTGTAGAGAAACGCTCCTTCTCCTTCCGGCTGCGCCGTTCGTTCGGCGATGGCGGCAGCACCAACAGCCGCAACAGCAACAACAACAGCAGCACCTGCACCAATCACAACAACCAGAAGCGATGCAGCACCCCCTTGACGCCAACCAGCACCAGCACCGGCCGGCTGGAGGTGCCTGGTGCATCGGTGAGTCGACGCAGCAGCATTTACAAGAAGCCGGACAAGAACGATGGGGGACAAATCCATATGATACCCGACGTGGAGCTGCCGCTGATGACATTCGCCGATCAGTACAATATCGAGAAGACGCTGGCCGAGGGCTGCTTCGCCAAGATATTGCTCTGTCGGCATCGGCCGACCAACACCACGGTGGTGCTGAAGGCGGTGCATGCCGAGCTGACCACGATCAAGGAGTTCCAGAAGGAGTTCCACTACAACTACGAGCTATCGCATCACCATCACATACTCAGCGCCTATGCGGTGGCCTTCCAGACCATGGACTACTACGTGTTTGCCATGGAGCATGCGCCATACGGAGATCTCGCTTCGAACATAGGACCGAATGGCTTGCATGAGACGGCCTGTAAGCTGATTGCCGAGCAATTGAGCTCGGCGTTGGGTTTCATGCACTCCAAGAATCTGGTGCATCGGGATCTCAAGGTTGAGAACGTGTTGGTCTTTACGCCGGACTTTACACGTGTCAAGCTATGCGATTTTGGGGCAACAACCAAGAAGGGGCTGCTCGTGCACAAGGTGAAGCATACGTGGACCAGCTGTGTGCCGCCCGAGCAATTGGAGCTGATCAAGAATGAGCGCTTCCAGTGCTTGCCCATCAGCGATTCCTGGCAATTTGGCATCTTGCTGTACAACATTCTGACGGGTAATCCGCCTTGGCTGTCCGCCGATTGGGTCAAGGATCAGGCGTATGCGAACTTCATGAAGTACGAGCAGCGCAAGACGACCAAGGTACCAGAGAACTTTCGACGTTTCTCGCCGCGTTTGATGCGCTGCTTCCGCAAGTACTTGACGCACGATACAGAGGAACGGTGCAAGATCACCGAGGTGAACAAGTACATGAAGGATCGCTGGGTCGAGTGTCGCATCTCAGCCTCGAAATCGGCCACGCTGATCTCGCCCACGCCGCAGGATCAGGACTCGTGCATCTATCTGAATCAGCGGGAGGGACGCCTGTCTGGGGATGAGAACAAATTGCGCTTTAGGCGCATGATGTCCAGCTATGGCCTGGACGTACCCATTGATCAGGGCATGGTGCGAAAGCGCGTCTGGGATTGGCTATCCACATGCGATGCTAGCTTCGATCCAGAAGTGGAAAGCTTGCATGCATTGGAAATGTAGAGAGCTGCGATATATCTAAAAGAATTTTGTTAGATGTATGAGATCTAGGAGATTTATTAGATCTCTGACCTATGCGATCTCTGATTTATGAGATCTATGGTTTATATTGAGAACTGTCTCTTCTGAAGCCAAACAAAAATTTGTTATTTGGTTCAATTGGACCAAAATTGATTATATATAAATCATATATATATAAATATTGTAATACTTATAGACGAATTTTGCTATGCATATGAAGAAACTACATAATTATTAGAAATTTATACCAAATAAACCCCATGGGGTATTAAATATATAAAAATGTACTTAGTAGATATTTTGTATATCCAGTAAAAGCAAAACACGTCAACGGATAATCTTTCCACTAGTGTTACCTTTCTAGTCTTCCGCTACGATGGTTTAAATATGTATAAATATATATATATATATATATATCTATCTGTATGTAGTTTTATATATGTGTGATGTACGCGTTATTTACTTTATACGTCATATACGATACCAACTAATGCAATTATCTAGAATTTAATATCTACTTAAGAGCAAGATAAACGATATATATCTATAATCTATATACTATATATGACCAATTATTAGCTAAGTGTTGTCTTATCTATGTGTAATTCGATTATATCTAAACCCTATACGATTATATATTATGTTAATGCTAGACTTTATCTTGTATCTCTATCTATATCTGTACGATCCTGTATATAATCTTACTATATGTATATGTATATGTATGTACGTATTTATGAGTACTATATGCGATGTGCTATACTACTTTTATATGAGTTAATGTACACAGAATGAATGCAAAAACAAATATATGAATATATAGAGAAACTTCTACTGAGTCTTTTAAACATGAACAGATTTATTGAATATATATTTTCTATAGCAAATAAGTCTATAAAAGATATAGTTTAAATGGGCTCCAGTTCAGTTCGGGATTGGTGTGAAGTCTTCTATTTGATTCTTTTTTCCTGATTAAATTAGTTTATTTTTTGTAGTTATTTATTTTTACATTTTGAAATTAAGAGAAAATCTCCATTAAAACTTGGAACGGTTTTATGTACCTCCACACATTTAACGATAACCGCAGACTATTTATATTTATATTTATTTGAAATATATATTATAATATTTATATTATATATCTTTATACATAGTATAGTTGCTGCCCACGATATTAGTCGTAAAAGCAAAAGTTTCTCTAAACATTTTCACAACCGTCATACAAATTTGTGCAAAAACAAATTCGCTTTGTTGTTAAATGTGGCACATTGTTTAGCAAAAATTACGACGCATACAACAATGGCAACAACAACAACTACAGCAAACACAATGAAAACTAACAATAAATATTTATTATTTCACGCATTAAAAACGAGAAGGAAAAAGAGCAGAAAAAATCAAAATTTCATTTTTGCTAAAATTTTTAATCATTCAATGTTTATAGATTTTTGCCAATAGTTTCTATCGCTCTCTCCCTCTCCCTCTCCCTCTCTCTCTCTCTCTCTGTCTCTATCTCTATCTGAAGGTTGACCAGAGGCTAATGTCAGCGGTGGTCAGGGCTTTTAGTTGATGTGGCCAAAACAATGGGTTATTTATGAATGGATCTTGTTGTTGCTTTTGTCGTTGTTGTTGTAGGTGTTGTTGTAGTAGCTGTTGCTGCATTAATTGTTGCTGTTGCTGTTCTTGTTCTCGTTTTGTCTCAACAGGATGTGACGCAGTCGTAAATCTGTCTCTAATAAACAGCAGCTGCGAAGGTTGATTAAACAAAATGTTGAACTTGCTGTTGCTATTGGCTCATCTACTGCCCACCTTCTTCGCACCTGGCCGCCTCCGCTTCGCTTTTACCTGGCTGGCTGGCTGACATTGACTTTATATCTTTCTCTCTCTCTTCTTCCTTCGGTCTGTTTGCGTTCTTGTAATACAATTTCCATTTAAATCAAATAAACTGCTTGTCCGTTGACTGATTGATTGGTTGATTGATTGATTGGGCTTGCTTGATTGACTAGCTGAACGTTCATTTACCTGTAATTAAATTTGAGCACAGCGTTTGCCACGTGCTGTTTTTTTTTTTTTTTTTTTGTGTTCTCTTGTTTATTTTATTATGCAAACAAAAAGGTTAGGAAAATAAATTGATAATCGTTGAGATACCCTGTAGCCGGGGTGGAAGGGCTAGTTGGCTTGATCGAAACAACAAGTAATATACATAAATTTTTTACTAATATTTTATTTGATTTATATATCAACATATTTATTTCTTTAAATTTAAATTTAAATGTGGTAACATTTAGTTTTTATAATGATTACATTCTTTTTTTTTAGTTCTTAAAATAAAAAATATTCAAAACAATTTTTTTTTTTAATTTTATAAATAAATTTGGTAATGGATTTTTTATTTTATTTTTTAACTCTCGTGAATGTCTAGCTTGTGTACTTCACAGCTATGAAGCCAGCTCTTATCTGTCATACCCTGCCATAGGCATGAACATTTGAATTATTTATTTACAGGGTATAGGTACTCAGGAGTAGACATATTTTATGAGCTTCGGATTTTTTTTTTTTTTTTGCCTTATACCTTGTTGCGCATGCTAACACTTAAACGGATTTTTATGGATTTCCAAGTCTGTGTGAGAAGTCAACTGAAATGAATTATATACAAAAAATACAAATAAAAAAAAAAAGAAGAAATTAATACTGTATATAGCTATAGATAGGATGTGCATATTTGCTGAGACACGTGCCAGCAGAGTTTTTGAGATCAACTTGAAAGTCATTTGTTTTCGTTTTGCTGATCGGAGAATTGCTCGATAAATATTAAAATGATCCCATTTAATTAGTTTTTATTCGTGTAAAACTGTCTGAAAAGCAAAACATATTGTGCCGCGCGCATAAATTTAACTAAAGCGCACAAAAATAGGTTTTTACGATGCCCGCCAAGGCGTCAACTTATTTTCTTTCCTCACCCCCAGTATACGCCCGTCTCCTTGCACGGCAACTAATGCGAATTTTCATGAGTTTTCCACACACAAACTCACGTCTAGTTCTTGTTGTTGTTGTCGCGTAATTTATGAGCCGCATTTGCCATTTCGTATTCTAATGGAACTGACTTGGACACGCCGGTGCGAGTCTCTCATTCGCTCTCATTCGAATTTGACATTCACATAGAGAGGTGACCCCGAAAAGTATGCAACAGTTTTCCCTGCCAGCACTTAGAAGTAGAAGAAAACTGAAATAAAAGTTACATTGGTGCTATGTTTCTTATGCGCATTGCATATTTATTATCTAGAGAGCAGACGGGCTTTTAGTTTTTACATTTATGTACGTGTAGAGATATACACTACACAGATTTACAGTACCTGTAGAGATTTACACTACATATATTGTATTTTTAGCCATTTCATGGGTACCTCATTGTAAATTTCGCACTTCTCGATGCTTCACTTGCTGAGTAATCTCAGTGGATGTTATTTTCTTTTGATTGGTATACGCTACCGGGAATTGTACTTCATTCTCTCAGAACAAAAACTTTGTGTACATTAGTTGGGCTTGAGTAAATTTCTTTCTAGCAATCACATTGAATTTCTTCGCGTTTGTTTATAGCAAAATGCTCTTAGACAGAAACAAACAATTCAACTGTCAAAGCGAGCGATAATCAGATAATATTAATATTATTGATAATAATAATATAAATATAAAATTCTTATTTTTTTCGTAGTATAGGTAAGTAATATTCAATATAAATCATTTTTTATGGATTTTATTTTATTCATATATTTCTTGTTATCCCTATTTTTTTAATTATTTTTACTGCTTTATTTTGGGAATAGTCTTGCTTTTTGAGAACTCTAGTTTTTATTCTAAGATAGATTAAGACATATACATTCATTAGCTTTGAATAGGATTATCCGTTTATTTTAAATGCAAGTTCATGTTATTCATATTTGTATGGGATTATTAACTATTAATAATAACAGCACATACATATTCCTTATATTTCCTTACGCAGTATATATATTTTCTATGCTTTGATAACTTATTTAATTTCAGTTATATTGCTGTTTATCTATCTTGATTCTAACACTTTTCTTTTTGCATATGTTACCTACCCTTGCGCTTCGTATACCACGTAAGACTTGCTTTCCTTTTGCGGTTTTGCAAATATTTTTCGCTATTCTATGTGGCCAGATGCTTTCTGAATAAATAAACAATATACTTACCTCTTCAAAAATACTAGTATAAATCAATTTTTTGATTGTTTTCGAAAATTTTGTTTTTGCATAATTTTAGAAGCAATTGAAATAATTGCTACTTCGATTCATATTTTGCAGCTGGCAAGTGTTTTCCATATAGAGATATATGTATATATTCTATATATATTCTATTTATAGATATATCGAAACACGTTTAGTCGAAAATGCATTAATTAATTAATCTGTTTATTGAATGCCATTAGATTCGATGTGTCTGTTCGTATGTCTAGGTAGCTCTATATCTATGGTTTATGTCTTGGCTGCATGTGCAAAAAATATATAAACGATGCGAATTGCTTACGAGCTAAAACAAATATGGTATGGATGCGATGCGATGCGATGCGGTTGATGCGTGTGGGCTGTGAAAAACATTTCAAAAATTTACAAATAATGCATGTATAAAAAATGTCTATATAGAATAATATGAATAATGTAAGCGAAAAAGAGAAAAAGAGTGGCAGAATCGAAATCCCAAGTAGATCAGGAAAAACCATATTCAGTCGGCTTATATATATCCATATACAATCTTCCAGGCACTCAGGCCGATTTCAATGGTATACGTTGCTTGATTACCTATAGAGATGGAGAGAGAGAGAGAGAGTGGAAGCGTGAGTAAGGTAGATAAACATTTGTAATACAATTTCATTTCTTGTTCATTCTCTTGTTTATAATTAAATACTAATAAAGGCGAAAAATCAATTAAGACGCGTGTGAAATACGTCAGAGCTGAATCTAAATTTGGACGAGCGTATTAGTTTTTTTTTCTTTTGCTTTCTATCGATCGATCGATTGATCGTTTATTTAGGTCTATTTATAGGCGGGGGCGTGAACTGAATCATCAGCGGGTCAAAACAGTAAGCGCAGGAAATGCGTTTTCCACGTAAAGCAAACATAATAATGAAAGAAACACGCACAAGCCAAAATAAGCGAAATTGGGGAGGGAAAACAATAACAATAAGACGAAATTATTATGATTCACTTTCGAAGAGTAAATACTCTTTTGGGGTACAAATAAATATGCATACATATGCATATAAATATTTATTATGTGCACTTATTATATTTTATATAATGTCAATAGGGGTTATTTCTCTGAAGACCTTTTTAAATATTGCATAAATATTTTGTTGCAAAGCAGTTACCTAACTGTTAAAGAAGACTTTTCATAACAGAGACATAGAGAGAATGCGAGAAGACGTGGGAGTAAGGCACCAGTTAAATATATTCTAGAAACGGTATCTGGGTGACAACAAAAACGCATTTAAACTCCTCTCAGATATTGTTATATATTATTTCAAGAGCAGCTCTAAAGCAACTGAGCAAAAGGTGATTTTAACAAGTTAGAGAGAGACAGAGAGACAAAAAGGAAGCAGAGGAATTGACAAAGAAAGACTGAGAAAGAAACACAGACTTTTTTATATAACTTTAATTTTCTCTTCAAGTCTCCTATTGCATATGACTACCATTCACTCATTTGGGCTTAACGACCCATTTGCTAGGGTATTATTAGAATCAATTAAATTGTTGATTAACTAACCTCAGAGCACATGGTCTTGTAGATCTCGTCGGTGTCCCAGGGCCCACGCTCGGGCAGCGCGATGCCACGCCTACGCAGCTCCTGAACACAGTCCGTCAAATCGAAAATGGGCAACGGATCGATGCTGGCCTTGGCAACCTTGCCAGCCAAATACTCGACGTAATGCGTGCTATTCGATAGGTGAGCAAAAATAAAGAACAATTAGATTTCATTCTCTAGACGTTCAAGGTTCGATTGACCCACCGACACATGCCCGCATGCTTGTCCGGCACCTCGCTGTTGCACACTGTGTCCACCAGACCCTGTGGTGTCTCTTTCTGCAGGGGAATGGGACAGCGTGCCTGGGCACGGGCCTTGCTCGAGCTGCTGGGCTCGTCGGCTAGCTCCATGGGCTCCGTGTCGAACTTGACGTTGTGCTCCTTGAGTAGAAACTGCAGCTGCATGGGTATCTTATCTCTCAGATAGAACAGACAATTGCGGGGATGATGGGCGTGCAGACCCAGCTTGGCGCAATACGGGGAGATGGTGCACTTGGCGCCCATCATGAAGGGCCGAGCACAGCCATAGCAGAACTCGAACTTGCACTGAGTGCAGGTGAAGTGCATGCAGCCACCCCTGAAAGCAAAGGCATAAATACAATATATTTATTATAATATAATAATAAGTCAAATATATTCCTCTCTGCTCTCACCTGGCCAGCGAATAACGAAATTTGCATTTGGGACAGTCTATGCCGTTCTGCGCTAAATGCTCCTGCACTCCTTGGGCCTGCAGCTCCGGATCGTTTTCCCGCTTCCATTCGAGGTACGCCTCGCAGCTGGTGCCCTCGTGCTGGCGCTCCCAGGGCTTGCGACACTGGGCACAGGTCACCGAGCCACAGTCGGGGCATATCAAACGCTTCTGCTTGGGCCGGGCAAAGAAGCCGGACGAGCACTGTATGCACCACTTGAAGTTGGGGTCTTGGAGCAGGGTGCGATCGCGCAGCTTACGCTGGAACAGTTCGTGCACATCGTTGTCCAGAATGCTCTTAAGGAAAATGTCCAAATTGGAAAAGTACTCCAAGTGTTCATCCTCATGCTGCACTGCGTTGCTCAGTTCGGGCAGCTTACAGAACGGACAGCTGCAGTCGTTGATGCTGCGATCGGTAATCTGTAAGGGAGGAGAAGGGGCAGAAATATTGTTGGAGTTGTAGCTCAGACTTGATTTCTATCACTAGAAAACAAATAACTCTTGATCGTTTCTCGAAGTCGGCAAAGAAGTGTCTTTCCCTTACACTTTGAGCAGAAAATCAGAGAGCAACCGATTGAGTGGGTTCTTCAGCAAGTCGCGATCGGTCAGAAAAGAAGCAAGTGGTTTTTTGCTTATGTATTGTATGAGAGAGTTTTAATCGCTAAACACTATAATAGTTTAGTGAGTCCCATGGCATGAAGATCAGTCGTATTGCTCTCGAAACGATCTTCGTCACACGAATAGTTCGACTCAATGCACTCAGCCGACAAAATTAAACAATCAGAGCCGAAGTCTCCTGCTCAGAGCGAGAGTGAGAGCGAAGGAGAATGATTTTTTCTTCAGTTGAACTCTTCATCGAATTCGCAGTCACTCAAATCGGAACCCACCTGTACAGTGAAATAACTCTTGGCGCACTGCTTGCAGCATTTGTGGGTGCACTTGAGCATGGAGACAATCTGGTTCATGGGATAGCTGTTCATGCACAGCTCACACTCTTGCTGCAGCATGGAGATGGCCTGATCAAGATCAGAGCATTCCCTGGCGGCCCACAAGGCGACATCCTCCTGGAACTTCATGTTGACCAATGTGGCGGCAATTTGTGCCTCCGCAATGCTCGTCACCAGCTGCTGCTCCACGTACTTGCGTGCCAGCACCTGCAATTAGGAGAGATTCAAACCAATTGTATACACTGAGCTACTCTTGAGGGTCTACACACCGCCGGCTCCTCAATGACTGGCTCCTGGACACTGGGGTAGGCGCGAAAGACTGGCATGCTGAGCTTACGCTGCAGCATCTCTGACTGCTGCTCCTGCTCCGCCTCCTCAGAGGCCGATGTCTCGTAATCATCGTCCGAGAAGCAGGTTTCGTGATATTTCTTCTTGGGTATGCGCGGCTGGCTGCGTGGCTTCAGTAGAGCGTTTACCGCAGCACTCGTGCTGGGTCCATCGTCCAAGGTCGTTTTCGTATTGAATTTCTTGATGGCATCACTCAGGGATTTCCTGTTGCTCGGACTACTCTTGAGTGGCACTCGACTGTTGCTGCTTCCGTTCGATTGAGTTTGCTTTTGCAAATACTGCTGCTGTATGCGCTTCACCGAGGATATGCCAATGGGCGCGGAAAAGGACTTGGAACGCAATGGCAATTTCTTGTTTGTTGTTGTTGTTGTGGTTGCAGTTGTTGTTGTTGTTGGTGGTGGTGGTGGTGTTGTGTTGTTATCATTTGTTGTTAGCTTGGGTATTTTGCTAGCTTTGGGTGTGCTGTTTGCTTTGGCTGTGTTTGGTGCGTCTGTTTTGGTTGTCTTTTTGGGGTTTACCTTTTTGGGCTCTTCCAGTACCGTTTCGCTAGGCAGTTCCAGTGGACGGGTTTCGGAATCGACAATAGGTGGATCGGGTATAATGGGTAAAGCAATTGGCTCCTCTGCCTGGGGTTTCGTTTCTAAAACAATCTCTGCAGGCAGCTCGGCTGGTCTATTTTCGGTTAGTGGTATGAGCGGAGGTTCCAGGGCAGTATTCTCGCTTACAGCAGCTTTGGCTTCCTCTGTAGAAGCTATCGAAGCAGCTGCAGCAGCTACAGCTGGCTCAGTTTCAATGGTTGCCTCAAGGGCTGTGCTGCCTGTAAAGGAAACATTTTCAGTTGCCCCATGGGCAGTCTCATCTTCATGATTTGTGGGCGTGACTGATGAGGTGCTCGTGACTGTTTGTTGTATGTCAGCTGATGACTCTGCCGCTGCCTCTTCTGCTTCTTCATTTTCCGCTTCGAGTTCATCCTCTTCCATAATGTCTTCGATCTCAGTGCCGTCTTCATCGACGAAACCAGCGGCACCGCTCGAGGCCTCCTCAATAAACGAAGCTTGCTCATTGTAGGTGCCCTCCTCTTCTTCACCCTCGCTGTCATACCAGTCTTCCTCTTCACCTTCGTCGTACTCGTCGGAATAGTCCTCGGAGTACTCATCTTCATCCGTTGACTCAAACTCATCCATGCTTATCTCGTCGCGCATTTGTTTGATCAAACGTTGTGTGTCCTCAACAAGTTCGCTCAGATTCTGTTTGGCTGGGTCGCCCGATGGTATGAACTCTTTAAATACCACCGGCTCGACCTCATCACTTGAGTGTGAACTGATGCTTGTGTTGCTGGCAGATTGAGCGAGACTCAAGTTCTGCATGGGCTGTTCTGGGTTGAGTACGAGCAGGACTTCAGCACCGTCTGGTGACTTCGGTGGGTGCTCTTCGCTATCGAGACTGTAGAGCTCTGCTTCCGAGGGAGAGTCGTCATGCAGTTGCTGCTCCTCGCCGCTGAACTCGGCAGCATCTTCGAAAATCTCCTCCGAGGCCTCCTCACTGGGTGTAACTACTACGGATACCACAGCTGACTCGACTGCAGTCTCTTCAGCCTTTGGCATGTCTTGCTCTACATTTTGTTGCAGCTCTGAGTTGACCTCAACCTCAACTGGCGTATTATTTCTGCTTTCTCTGTGTAGACTTTGTGTACTCAGTGTTCTTACTGGTATTTTAGAGAAACGTTTGGGACTGCGCTTCTGATTGCTTGTCACAGCAATTGTTGGTATTAGCTCAATGGTTGTGGCTGTGGCTGGCTCTATCTGCAGTGATTCAGCAGAGGGTGTTGTAGGTGCTATGATTGCCTCCTCATTAACCTGCACTACACTTCGAGGCTGTTCGACTTCTTGAGGCTGTTCTTGAGTCTGATTAGGTGTTATTTCTATATTAGCTATTGTACTGCTTACAGATTGAACAACTTGCGAGATCTCAACTTCGGCTCTTTCTATGGGTGTTTCGATTGCTGAATTTGGAATCAACGGCAAGGTCTCAGACGGAACTTCTTTTGGGTCTGTATCAACTGATTCAGTTGTAGTTGTTGGAGTTGGTTCAACAGATTGTGGTACAGTTAAAACTCCTGCTTGTGGTTCCACTGGAACTTCAGCTTGTGTAACTTCTGCTCTCACAACTTCTGATTGTACAACTTCAGTTTGTGTAACTTCAGTTTGTGTAACTTCAGCTTGTGCAACCGTTTTGGCTTCTTCTTGATCTTCAGCTTCTATAATCACATCAATTTCTGTCTGTGTTTCTGGTCTTGGTTCTACCTTACCTTCAGCTGGCTCAGATTTTATAGCTTCTGGCTCAGCTTCCTTTTCAATCGCTTTAATTTGTTCCTCTACTTCAACTACTGCAATTTTAGACCCTGGGACTATTTCATTTGTAGTTTTAATGACAGCATCCTTCTGCTCTTTTGCCTCGATTTCCCTCTCAACTTTCTCTATATTATTTGGCAATCTGTTCCTATTTGTTGGTCTTTGACTTTGATCTCGTGCTCTACCCTTTTTCGGTAACTGAGATCGCTTATTTCTCTTGTACACCTCTCGGCTAGTGCTGGGCTTGTCGTCAAGTTTCGCTTGTGTCTCTGCTGCTATTGCATTTTCCTTGGATTTGGGCTCGGTTGGTGTGGGTGCTGCGATAATCTGTTCAGCAGCCGTCTCTGCTTTAGATGAGCTGACAGAGTTAGCTGCCAATGGGGCTTCATCTGGCAGATTTATAGGTTTTTCTAGGGTTACTTCTTTTGTCGTCGCTTCAGCCGTTTCTTGTTTCACTTGAGGAGCTATAGGTTCTGTTGAATTCTCATTTTGAGCAGCTTCAACCTCTGTTACTCCAACTACACTCACTTTGCTCTCTAGATCTTCCGAATTCTGGTTCTTCTCATCACTATCAGGATTCTTTGCCAATATTTCCTCATTTACCAGAATGGATGCACTCACTTTGCTTTCCAGAGTTTCTGAATTCGGATTCCTCTCTTCACTAACAACATTCTCTGGTACTATTTCCTCTTTGACAGCCCCTAGTTTGGGTGCCAAATAGCTTTTGTAGACGATGTGCTTGGCATCTTCCAGGTCATCCAGCTCGAACTCCAGTTCATGCACTCTTTCCACACCACGATCAAATTCCAATTTGAAATTTGCTATTTCTGTAGCGTAAATAAAATTGGGAGGTAGCTCCTCGCGTATGGTGCTCTCTCTTAGATTGGGTTTAATGAACTCTTCCATGATATATACACCGGGATCTGGCGGTGGAGTTGCTTCTTTTTGGGGCACTGCCTCAGTGGGCACCACTGTGACAGGGGCTTGGGCTACCTCCGTAGGCGCCATTAGCTCCTGCTCCACCTGTTGCACCAAATTCGGTACAATTTCCTGAATATGCTGCCAGACAAAGTTCTTGACATCATCACTGGACTTCTCGGGCAGAGCCGAGGGCGACTTCAATGTGCTAATGGGACTTTTGGTAAGAATACGCATTACTTCCGGATCCGTTTCATATTCCTGATCGGGTTTGCCCTTAAACGTTTCTAGCATCGTCTCGATGGAACGCAGAACCTCCTGGTTTTGCTTAGCCTGATTCTGCTCCATATTGCCAATCAGAATTTCCAGATTCTTTAATGTGCCATCCTCTAGCTGATAGGGACTAGGCGTGGCATAGGCGGACTTGGCTGGGCTAGAATTGTCATCGAATGGATAGGCTAAAGCAGGACTCTCACTGTTCTGCACTTGCAGACAGTCCAAAGCGTGAGTGTTAAGAAACTCATGGATATCTACACGGAACGATGACAAAGAGAGATGGAGAGAGAGAGAGAGAGATGTGTGTAAAAATGAGAAGTAAATGCGATTTGAGCTACTCTAACTAACCCGATTGATTATCTACGGCCGCACTCTCATTCTCCACGCCATTCGGCGAGCCCCAGATGCGCATTAGAAATGGTTTAAGCTGAGTGCGATTCAGTTCGACCAATGCCTGTTCCACATTACCTTGATGCGCCGTCAACGCATTCACAATGTCCTCACTTAGAAAGTTGCCCTTCGCTGCGAGCTTGCGATACTTTTGCTGGCGCTGCTGGATGCAATCGGCGACCGCTTGCCAAACATTTCCGCCCGAGCTCCTCAATGCTTCCCTGGCCTCGTTCTGTGAGACGGTGCCAATTGTATTCTCCGCACGCTCCTGGCCATATTTGGTGGACAGACTTTGGACGGTTTGGACCAGCTTATGCCAGTTCTCACGCAACCATTGTATAGGATGGATGTCGGGTCCACAATATTTCAGAGCTGCCTCGAGCTCATCAACCGTAAATTTATAGAGCTCCAGCTCTTTGAGTATAATATGCATTTCAATTTCAGGATCTCTAGCTGGCTCGTGTTTGTAGCCCACCGACTCGTGAGGCAGATCAAATGGTGAAGATGTTTGCTATTGATGCAATGGAAGTAGAGGTATATAAGCTGGGTCTAAGTGGCTGGGGAATGATCTACGACTTACATGCTGCAGCATTTTGAGGTCGTTTATGAAATTCGGTCTTCTCGTCAGTTGATTGGAAATACCTTCCATGTTCCTTAAATCGTTTGAGCTACGATAACGTTCGTTCTCCTGCGTCAGCTGGGAGCTGCTGCGATAATAGGGCTTACGTTCCATCTTGGCCGGTTCGGGGGTTCGGAAACGTTCTGGCTCAGGCGGGATCTCTGGCTGTCCGACAAAAGGCAAAGCATCGTAGGTCTGCAAGAGGTATTATTAAAGGCTTCTGACTAATTACACTGGATATTAGTTTTACTTGTGTCGAGATGCTCTGCGGCGGTGGTGAAGTGCCCATTTCACGTGCCTCCATTTTCGTTGGCAACTCACGAGGCGGTGTTCCTCCACAGCCAGTGGAGACTTTCTTTGATTGTTTTAGCACCTGCTCCGCCTGCGCCTGAATGCTCTCATCCAGTGTATTCCATATATTCTCAACGGATTCTGGAAGTGTATGGATGAGAGCTTTAGTATAACCGAACAACAACAAAACAAAACTCGGGTATGTTTTTAGTTTGGGACTTGACTATGTATTTCGTATAAAATGTTGTTTTTTGTTTCTTTTCTTTTCTTCTTCTTTTTTTTTTTTTTTTTTTTTTTTTTTTTAATGCGTTAATTGTAGTTGTAAACAGTTACAGTTGGTTATAGTTTAGGGTATACAGTGTTTGAGTCTTTGGTTTTGTTGTGTTATAAATGAGTCTCAGGTTCAGCTCTTGGTACCCTCGAAAAATGAGATTTTCTTGAGAATCCTACCTTTGTTTAAAAAGCTGGAGCCAAGCGGTTTATCTGCTTGATTTCCGGCTGTCGATTTCAGCTTGGACTTGATAGCCGTTGTGGGTTTCTTGTTGGTGACGGTGCTGGTAGTGGTGGTAGCTGTAGCTGTAGCTGTTGTTGTCTGTTTAGGTTTGGCTGTAGCTGGAGCTTGAGTCTTAGCTGGACTTTGGCTAGCTGGCTGAATAGCCTTCTGCACAGTTGGCTTTGTCGTCGTCTTCATGGAGCTCTTGCGCACAAGCTTCACTTCCGACTTAGCCTGCGTTGCCTTAGGCTCAACAGCTGCTGCTTTGGCCGGTGGGGTAGTTGCTTTATTGGGCTTCACTGGCTGCTTGCAGGGCGTCTTGCAGCATATGGCACAGATCTTGATATTTGGCTCATTCACAAATGTGCAAAATTCGCATTCCCACTCGTGATCGGGTGTCGAGGGAGGTGGACCCAACTCATCGTCCCCAGCATCTACCTCAGTTGGTGCGGCCGCCGCTGGCTGTTCCTCTTCAGTCTCCGATGCGGTTACCTCCTCCACGACTTCCTCATACTCTGAATCGCTTTTTTCTCTTGACTTGACTGGTGTTTCGATGACTTTCTGCACCACAGCCGCAGCTTGAGTATTCTCATCCTTCGTTTCGGGCTTGCGCTTGGACTCGGTTCTCTTAACCTTTTGCTGATCGGCCTCTTGAAGTTTCTGTTGTATTTTGGCTTGAACCAAGGCGCGCGCACCGGAACCCTCCGACTCCAGGTCCGAGTAGATGCGACTTGTTTTCGGCGCATCCTGCTGTTGGCTCCGCTTCAAAGTGCCTGTTCCGCCTCCACTGGCATTCGAGTCCCTGCGTTCAGGCAGCCATTCGCTCTGCACGCTCTTTGCTATGGATCCACGACGGTCCCGCATCTTGTGCTGTCTGCTGCCGGCATGTCGCTGCTCCCCGTCCAGCTCATCGTTGCCTCCGTTGCCGTTGCTGATGAGCTGCGAGGCGCTGGACATGCGTCGCTGACGCTGATGGTGTTGGTGAGCTCTCGAGGCGCTCGTCATGCCCGATCTGTTCGAGACCAGCGAACGACGATCATCCTGATCCGAGTCCTCATCATCCGTCAGCTCATCATCAACGTAGCTGCTGCGCTTGCGACGCATCGACATGGACTTGCGACTAGGTGTGGGGGAGGCAGCATAGCGAGCGCGTGAAGCGGCACGCGAGACAGCTGTGGGTGGCATGCCCATAACACCTGCGAAACGGACAAGATGAAAGAGTTCATTGTTTACATAAACTCAATTTGCTCTACGCTCTGCTCACCTGGATGCATCATGGGGTAGCCCGCAGCGCCTGGATACATTTTCGGCATAATGCCGCGCTGTGTCATGAACACAGGTGGCGGATAGTGCGGATGCTGCTGTTGCATGAGCTGTTGATGCTGTGGCAAGTAGCCGGGGCCCACGTTGAGCGATAGATTCGAGCTGTTGAACTGCTGCTGCGAGCCGAACTGCGACCACTCATCGTGTGGATGGGGCTGTCCGGGCCAATTGGGCTGTTGGCTCTGGCAGCCAGCGCAGTTGAGATGCGCCATTGACTGAGCCTGCGTTGGGGTTGAGATGGTAGACAGATATAAATAGGAAGCGGTAGTCAAATATGAATGTCTTGAAAGATTGAGAAATGAAGAAGTAAAAGTAATATGAGAAAGGATCAGTCCTTTAGGAAAAATTACAGAGGGCGTGGGAGGACAGGAAATAATCCCTAAATGAAGAACGTGTTGTTATGGTAAAAGCACCAAGAGTAGGGGCTAGTCGTTATGAAAAATTAGCCGAGAGAGTATTAAGGACGTGGGGATAGATGCTGCTCATAAATGCTGAATCAGTCGTTAAGGATCAAGTATAAGTCATAAAAGCAGAAAAAAATTCTTAGGGATAGAGGATATGTCATATGAAGGGGGGATGAACTTTTGAATGATCAATGATCAACTCACCTGTTGCATGCGCTGATTGGCCACCCAGGCAGAACCGATGGGTTGGTTCTCTGCGAGCGGACGGCGGGGACTCATGCTATTCAAATTGAAGACGGATGTGCTCATTTGACGACGCTGAGCGCCTACGGCCTGTCGTCGTAGTTGTTGTTGTTGTTGGAACAGCAGGGAATTGTGAAAATTGTGTGAATCATCGGATAGATCAAAATGCGATGAATTCAAACCGGATGACATGCTGCCGGAACGAAAATGCGAGGGCGATGGTGAAATGTTTGACCAATGCTCGAAGTTCAGCTGCTTTTAGATTTAGATGCACAAAGAACGAGAAAGAGAGAGAGAGAGAAACAGAAAGAGAGAGTGTGTGTGGGGCGAGACAAGGACCAGAGACATCGACACACACACACACACACGCGCAAGACGAGACGATTTATCAATGAGGGATAGTTGATGGCTGGGTGGATGTGGCACAGATGTAGCCTTACCTGGTCGGGATTGCCCGCCTCATGTTGCGCCTTCTGCTGGCGATAGCGCTGCTGCAGCTGTGCCATGCGATCCAAGGTGGCGTTCGCCTTGCTCTTGATCTTCTCCAGCTGCACCGAGGGCGGTCGGCTGATTGAGTCGAATACTGATTTGGGCGTGCCCGAGCGAGAGGAGCCGCCGCCCTCGCTGGGCGCCGGCCGTGGCGGCTCCGGCAACGGTCGATTGTTCATTTGAGGCCCAGCAGCTGGACCCCGCCAGCCGCCGGAGGACTTGTGCGAGGGCGTCGGCGAGGGCGGTGGCAACATCTGCAAAAAAGTTCGTTTTCGTTTTTCGTTTTTGGTTCTCTTTGGTTGTTGGGCAGGCGGCATTAAGGTTTCTTTTTCTGATTTGGTTGTTGTTCTTGTTTTATTGAAGCATTCAAAATTGTTTACAAACTGGTACTAAATAGATAGCTCTAACTACACCGATGTACACCCAAAGCTTGGTCTAGTACAAAGTTTGTTTTTATTGATTCTTATTGGTTTTCGATCGATTTTTTTTTTAGTTTTTAGCTTATGAAATCGTGCAGTGTCGTACCTGTTCCTTGCGACCCAGAAACGGTGTCAACAAACCACGTTTGCTGCGTCGAGGTGGTGCAACCGGTGGAGCAGCTCCTGCAGCACTTGCCTTGGGCGGTATGGGTGGAGTGCCTTGCTTCGCAGCCTAAATAGCACAATAATGAACACATTAGTTACTATAATACTAAGTAGAACAGACATTTGCAGCTCACCTTGCGTATGTGGTTCTTGCGCTTGGGATGCTTGTGGAACATGTCGTCGCATGAGGCGCAAAAGATCTGGCCAGCGCATTCGGCACAGGTTACCCACGGATTCTGCGATCCACAGAGTGTGCATTTCAATTTGTTGTCTATATAAAGTTCAGTTTTTAATAAATTCGGAGTTGAAATTCGGAATAATTATGGGAAATTCTTAGTAATTGTCGCAATGAAATTAGGAGTAATTATCGGAGCAAAGTTTTAAATACAGCAGAGGGAAATTTTCGGAGCCAATCTCGGAGTACATGGTCAGAGTACGATTCGGAGTAAAATTAGGAGTAAGCTATGGAAAGCGTTTTGATATTAAAGGTTTTGTATACATTCGGAAAAATGTGAAACTATTCAATTTCAATTCCAAATTAAAATTTTATGAATTTCAGATTAAAATATTTAATAGAATGATTGGATTCCGAATTCAAAATCTAAAAAATATGCTGTAGTCAGGTAAGTAAGGTAAGGTAAGTGTAATAGCAATAATAATGATATAGGGAGTCTTCCAGATGATAAATATACTATATATTCTTTATGTCTATACTTCAAAAAGTTTCGCTGCAACTAAAGTATGCCTAAGCAACTTTATGAAATGAGTAAAGTTCTTGGATCCACTTGCCTGGCGTTTTGGTACGGATCTGTGTAGTTTTCATGGGCTCATTTGAGTACTGTTGCTGGTTAGAGAACTCGATGATTTCGTAGTCGGGTTCGGGCGTGTTCTTCGTTTTGGGAGGCAGTGCCGGCACCTTGAGCTGGGCTCCATTCATTGACGCATTGCCATTCATTGGCGTTGGCGGCGGCTTGGGTCCAATGCGATCATTCGCCTCATTCTAAGTGCAAAAAGCTCAAGTTGTATTACTTAAAGTAGATACTCTATTAGAGAGAAGATCTTTCATTCGGGCTATACTCACCACCCAGTCGGGCATTGTGCGTACGTTTCTGTTGAGCAATTGGTGTGTCGTCATCTTTATGGTTGTCGTTAGCTTTGTCGGCTACAGTTTTCTTTTCTTGCTTCTGTTTATTCGTCTTCTTCTTCTTGTTTCTATTTTGATCTGCTGCGGGACATAATTTTTGAGACGTATTATGTAAAAAAAAAAAAATAAGAAAATAAAATAAACATATCGAAGATAGGAAAATTTATCGACTTTTAAATCGTTTTTCGATTTGAATATAACGGATATATATACTTATTTATGTATTATGGACTTTATGGATAATATATATATAAGAACATTTAGATATAGCCTAATTAATTATTATATATATATATAATTTTTTTTTACATATTTAATCTCACATCTATCTTTCTATATCTAAATACAAAGTGTTAAGGTAAATATCTTTAATTATATAAAAATATCTTTATATATACCTAAACACTTCAAAGCACTTCATATTCAATTACCCAAATGTACAAAATATATTTTTATATTCACGTTTTCCTTAAATATTTTTAGCCAGCTCTGCCAAAAAAGTGGAGGCAAGTTTCTGCAGTGCGAAATGCAAAACGCCCAAACGCTGCCAGAGTTGTTCCACGAATAAGCCATATATATAAATATAAAATAGGCCAAAAATTTTGCTGCATTCGAAAACAAGTTGTAAATGAAAGCTGAAAAAAGCCGGCTAAGACATACTCTCTATATACATATATTGATAACTAAAAAAAAATACATTACAAATGATTAAAAAATTATTATTATTATAAAAATAGATAATAATTATTATTAGTAAAATATATTTACTTTTCAAGGCATTAAAAGAAATCATAAGAGCTTGCCCATATTTTATTATTTATTTAAAACTCAAAAAGCGCGAAGAAGTAGGCAATGCTCTTTCCCAAAAAGGATTTCAAAAATTTTAAAGTAAGTACATAAAAATAAAAAAATTAATTTAAATATTTATCTAAAGAATATATTATAGATTTACAGGGTATTAATGCACGCCGCTATACATTAATGTTTCATATTTTATTTTGTTTATGAAACATTGCGAAATAAGCAAAAGGAAATAATTCGTGTGACTCAATTATCGAGCTGACAGCTAGCCTAAGTGGAAATGAATTTGATAGAGAGAGACAAAAAGAGCAACAAGGAAAACGAGAGAGAGAGAGAGAGAGAGCGAGAAAGAGAGAGAGAAAATAGTAAAGGCAGAGAGCAGACCGATCAAGAGAAAGAGAGAGAGAAAGAGAGTGTACATTCCCTCTCTCTATAAGTTGAATATGGAAAGAGTAAAAATAAAGAGAAATTTCAAATCAAAATAAAGGAATCTTTTATAAAAATAGGAGAGAGATTACAAAGAGAAAACGAGACCGCATATAGAGCATAGCAAATTCATTGACGCTTGTTGCACGACAGATATAGATCATGTTGAATGTTTCGAAATAGGAAATATACTGCACACGAGTTTTTGAAACGTTTTTGGTTTATTTTTTATTTATTTGCTTATATGCAGTCTGCATAGATATATGTACGATAGATATGGTCAGGCATTATGAGATATTTTAAGAATATTCAATAAGATTAGTAATTTTTATGTATGGGAAGAAAGACAAGATATTAATATAAATATGAAAATATTAATTTTTCACTTTTGTCAAACTAATTTTGATCTTACTCTTTTAGAATTTCTAATTAAATATTCCGGCGTAAATTAAATGTGAGCTTTTAAGTTTTTCATCAATTAATTTATATTTTATATATTTGCTATATTGCATTGTATTTAATTTTGCTTTCTTGTCTTTGGTTTGCCATTGATATTCTTGATAATACTTAAATTTTATGTAAGTCACTTCAAAGTTAACTTGTTTTTTTAAACAATTTAATTCAGTTTAAAAGTTTTTAATTATTTATATATTAATATTTTTTTTATTATATGTTTTGAGTATTCGTTTATAATTTAGTTGCAGTGCATTTGCATCTTTTATATATATTACATATTTTACATCTTGACTAACGCATTTTCCACCTGTTCCTCGTCCCGCTGTTCTGTTGGCAGCTGCTTAAGGCAGCTGCCCTGGGAGCCAGCTAATACACACTCATACACAGACACTCACACGCACACTTAAACGTGCGCACAGAACTATTTTTAACCACTTCAATTTCTTTGCCCAAAAAAAAGAAAAGTTTTTTTTGTGTTTATTTTTGCACAATTTGATTAAATCTTTTTTTTTTTTTTTTTTTTTTTGTTTTCGTTTTTGTTGGTTGTATTAAAAATAAAATAGAAAAATTCAATTTGCGTATTTAAATTTTGGTTAATTTTTTTTTTGAAAATTGTGAGATTTTTTTAATTTTTAGTCAAAGAGTTTATCGATTCCGTTTGGATTTAAATTTAGTTGTGTTTATTTATAGCACACGGTTTTTGACTGCTTCTTCTTGTTCTTTTATTTTTTAAATATATATTCTACATATATACAAATATATATATGTTTGGTTTATTAGTTATATTTGTTAATGAACTTTCATTTTTTTCTTTCTTTAAGCACATCTCACTTACATAATACGAATTTACTTGCCACGTCGCGCCGCACTCAAAAAATTTTGCTAGCTGGTTAGCCTTATATATATATATATATATATATATATATATATATATATATATATAGTGCTATGTGTAGCCGCTCGACATGAAATAGTATTTTTCTATATATTTATTTTTTGCTACGGTCTCGTTCGGCGATCGTCTCCCAACAAACTGATTTGTCTATTCGCCATCTAAACAACATTTTCCCCCAGTTTTCAGAGACGTTGTCGCCGCAATAATTTTCTTGCTCAATGTGTCTCTGTCATCTGTGTTTTTTTCGCTTTTCTTGATTTCTCTTTATTTTATAAATACTACATAGCCAACGTATGGCCAGTCTAGTTCATCTCCCGCATGTGCTCAAAGTTTGTAAGTTTTTATCTTGTTTTCTATTTTCCTTTCTGTTGTTAAACATTTCGTTAGCTGCATTCGTTTTGCATTTAGTCATATAATTTATGGATTTTGTGTTATTGTATCATATTTATTTGTATATTGTGTATTATTCTGTTATAAATAAAATGAATAATTTTGATTCATATAAATGTAATCATGTTTTTTTTTATCATATTCATATCATATCATTATAGTCACTAACTACACCGACTACCAATTTTCGAATGGCTTGGAGTATAAAAGCAAAAATAAAGTAAATGATAATATTAAAATTATAGAAATAATACAGAATAATACAGAAATATTGTAAAAAATCGGTTATATAATAATTTTTAAAAAACTTTCCCATAATAAATATGCTTTCGCCTAATTAAAAACCATTTGCTTAAAATAAAAATTATTGTTAAGCTTTATTGGTAATCAAATAATAGATAAATATGAACCCCTAGAGTCATGTCTGACCTTGACTTCGTTGTTGTTTATATCATTAATTGCATATTTATCATTTGTATATTAATAATGTTGTATATTGTAAACTTTTTCAATTTAGAAATCAATAGGAGAGCGCAATAAGTTGAAAAGTTCAGGAATTTTATTTGCTATAAATAATATGCTAGCACGCTTCTGAAGCTCCACCTGCCGGCAGAGGGAGCACAAATCAAAAATAAAAAAAGAACAAAAGCAAATACAATTAACCTTTGTTTGTGTGTACAAATAATATTTATTTATAAAATTACGAAAAGCAATTTCAACTGCGAATTATTCTCATTATTATTAGCGGCTCGCGACAGGCTTCCAATTTGAGTGGGCGCAACATGTGGTATGAGCAATGTCAATCAAATGTATATATATTCCACTCATACTAATAATATATATATGTGTGTGTGGGTGTACGGTAATAAGTGCAAATTGATCTAACTGTAATTGACATGCAAAACGGATTTGCCAAAGAGCTCAAGTCGAAGACGAAGCAGCAGCATACAAAGGCAGAAGCCCAATAATTGCAAACACGCATTATTTGATAAGTCGGCACTCTTCACTCCTATAAAAGCCTTGGCCTCTGGCTCTGCCGTGACGTCGCCTGTGCTGTTGCTAGTGCCTTTGCCGTGGTCTCTGCCTATGCTGCTGCCTGTACCTCTGCCGTGGCCTCTGAATCTGGCTGTGGCTGCGCCTATGCATTTGCCACCGTCTCTTCCTCTTCCTCTCCTTTTGCCTCTGCCTTTGCTGGCAGCAACCACCATCATCACCAACGCATTGACTTGGACTCGACCTTGCCCGCTGCTGATGGCGGCGCGTTACGTCGACGCTGACTGCGTCTTTGAATCGATGCTCGGCCAAACTTTTTACAGCTGATTAGCAGCCGAGGCACACGAAGCGTCGTATGTGCTGCGTTCGGCTTGTGCCAGCTGTTCGTAAACAAACAAAATGCCGGCTGTTGTTAGTGTTGTTATTGTTGTTGGCAGCGTGAAAGCTTTTTGAAAGCTTTTTAGAAATGTTTTTCTCGCATGCGAGAATCGTAGCTATTCACGCGCGGATATTCTTAAAGCGAAAAACCAATTTTTCGGCTGCATTTGCGCAGCGCGCGTTGCAGGAAACGCAAGTGAAACGCGTGTGGAAAACTTAACGATTTTCACGGCACCCTCGAACACCGCACGTGCCCCTACCGCTGAGTAAATAGGAAAAGAGGAAAAAAACTTGTTAAATGTAGCGCACACATTTAACAAGTTTTTTTCCTTTAGTATAATATTAAAGTAGTTAATATATAGTGTGGTATATGTGTATTTATACGCATATGTTTGTGTGTGTATATATATGTGGTAATTGAAATTGTGCCTTTAATCGTGTCCCGTGCGCATAATTTCATTTGCGTAATGCTCATAGACAATAAAAATTCAAAGCACACTTCAATTCAATATACTAGGTGCGTTTCTATGGAGTAAACTGCATTAGTGTGAATGAAACGGAAAATGGAAACGAAATGCCTTGGGAAATAATAATTTAAATAATCCATATAAAATAAATAAAAATGCCTTCAAGAAAGATAATAAGTATTATTAAAATTAAGTAATAATAAAAATTAATTCAAAAATATATATGTAATAAGAGTAATACTAATAATAAAAGTATAATACAAAAATAAAGATATTCGCAAGTTTGTAAAGCGTTTACTAAAAAGAAATTAAATTACAGTTAAAAAAAAAAAACACCAAAACTTATGAAAAACTATATAACAAAAACTAAAATTTAAAAAATTAATCAACACTATTAAAAGTGAACTGTTTCTAAAACTTTATAGAATATATTAATCAATACAACAACAAAAAATATTAAATATATAGAGCAGTAAGTAAATTAAAAATAAAAGTGTTCTATCAACAATAAAATATTTTTAGTTTCACTTGAAAAGATTTACAAACACATTTAAACCAGGAAAAATCTTTAAAATGTCAAAAATAAATAATAAATAAATGTATATACAAATTTATTTTAACGTAATTAAAATAACTTATAATAAGCTAAACATATGACGTTATGACAATTAAAAAAAAAATTAATCCAATAATACACAATAAACGAGAAAGAAACTCTGACGCTTTAAAAGTGGAAAACCCTTTAATTGTCCAACAGCTGCATAAATGTAAAACTAAACCAACTACAAAGATTATTTCCTGTCGCAGCGAGATTAAAAAATAAAACTTAATAAAACATAGCAAAGCTGGCCGAGAATAAGAAGACGAAGAGCTGCTGCTGCTTAGGGCGATGTCGAGACGAATTGCTTTGTGCTATATACGAAAAATCGATAGTTGAAGCCGCAGTCGCCGTCACCGTCAAAGTCGCCGTCGACGTCGCAGTCGACATCAACGTCAACGGTCAGAGTCAAACGAGACGCAAAACGCTTATTAAATGTCGGCTAAAAATAGCCTAAACAACAACAACAACTAGGACTATTAGACAAAGCAACTAGGTAAACGTGACAAACATGGTCGATGCTAAGCCACCGCCCACTCGCACGCCCACACCGGGCACCCCGCCGGCGGCATTCGCCGGTGAAAGATCGAAAATTAAATTATTTATGGAACGAACGCCGAGCATCGGAGCACTCAAGTCGAAATTTTTGACAGTGTTGGGCAACAGCAACGAGCTGCTCAATGGCATATCGAATAAGGTAAGGCCTTGATAATGAAAGCGCTCTCTGTCAGGTCGTCTGTGTGGGTGGGTGGGAACAGAATATACAGAATAGCAATAGCAATAGCAATAACAATAACAACAGACATTTTGATAGTTTTTTGTTTTTGCTGCTGCATTCGTTTCGTTTGACCTTCACTTGGCCCGGATATTATTGTTGGGGTAGCTGCTGTGCTGTTGCAGCACCAGCTGCAGCTTGGGGGTTGGCCTCAGCTGTTTGCATTGTACTTGACTCTATGTGAACAGCGCTGCGCAGCATTGGCTGCGGCTCTGTCGCTTTCAAAATAATTAAATTGCGTGCTCGACGCTTCAAGCATAAACGAGTTAAGAGCAAGTGGCACAGCTGTTGCTGTTGCTGTCTCCTTTTCCTAGCTGAGCTGTTAATTACGGATTATGTCGCTCGCTCAATTGTCCTCTATTTCTATCTCTTTCACACCACACATGCCAAACGGCTTTTGCTGCTGCAGCAGCAAGCGCCAAAAGCAATCAATTTCGTTGACTTCCTGCTTGAGACTTGCCAACGGCATACGCTTATCCAAGGCCAAAGGGCTTACTGCATAAATTGTACTTTTGTTTCAAATGCTGTCTAATAGTGATTGATCGCTTTTATATTTGACTCTTTTGTTAGTGCAATTTTAGCGCACTTCAGTAAATTACTTGTATTGTTTACAGCCAATAGGCATCCAGCAAGGGGGCAACACAGGGCTGGGCAGTAGCTGAACGAAATAATACGAAAAAAGAAATTGAAACGAAAAAAAAAAAATTATTTTAAATTTCCTGACTTTTTGTATTAAGTAATTGCTATCTTTAAATATAATTTTCATTTTTATTTCATTTTCATTTTCCAAATATTTTTATTTATGATCATTTGGCAAAAAAAAAAAAAAAATAGGGTGGCAACATCGTTTACTAACTGCAGCCATTTTTTCCATTTACAGTTAACTTTGAGCAGCAGTAGCAGCGATTCAGATTATTGCGACGACGATGATGAAGATTTGCCCAAATGTAAGTTTTGTAAAAGTGAATATTAACAAAAATAAAAAATTATTAACAAGATTTCTAATTAATTCAATAGTTGATGAGACGATTGACTATACGAAGATCGACTTTGAGGGACGTCGCGTGAAAGCGCGCCGTGCGCATGAGGAAATCATCTCGAGCCGCTACAGACAGCCGAATTTGGCGCCACGTAAGCCGGACTAACTGTAATAATACTGCTCAAGAGACAAATAATAGGTATAGATATAATTTGTAGGTCCTCGGTTGGAATACTCTCGCTCTCGACATGGCAACCACAAACAGCGCTCCAGTTCGCCCTCTTCGTCTAGCAGTGGTAGCAGTAGCGATGACAGCAGCTCCATTTCGCTGCCGGAGCAAACGGCTGCGCGTTCCCATGAGGTGAGCAGCACGACCCACTCGAATTCCCTTGAGTTTGAGTCGCGTCATTCGGGTGGCTATGAACGCCATCGACCCATTGCGGGCGCTCGTCGCAGCGAGCTGGACATGCAGAAGGATATGCAGCGTATTAGTGAGCTGTTGGAGGCTACTGCCACAGCTACGCCTCCCCAAATCGATGTTCAACCGCCCACAGAAGGCGGCACCGGTGCTGGCCTAATAGCACGCCAGCCCTGGGGAGAGGTCAGTTCCATTCGGTTGCCTGCACGCAGTCGCACCTCGAACAGCAGCACGTTGACCAGTCTGCGAGATGAGCCCGATCAGCTGCAGGCCAGCCCGAGCATGGAGTCCAGCGACTGGCGCAACTTCATACGCTCTGAGTCGCAGAACTCTGTGCCATCGTGGGCCTCATCGATAAGTTTGGATTGTCGTGCTGGAGAGGAGCCCGTCAAGGAGTTCATGAAGCACTTCACTCATCTGCTCTTCAATAACTTGGCCGCTGTGAATCTGGAGCTGAAGTCAGAGTTTGGTGTACTACTACGCTTGGAAATGGGTCGGCTGTGGTTCACTCGGTTTCTCAGCGAGCAGCGCAACAAATCGAAACGAATGGAAACGTTGACATTCAATGCAGTTGCTCAATACTTTGCATTGGCTCTGTTCGAGTGCGGCGAATGCGAGGATTATGCGCCAGCAGCCGTGCTTATGAATCTCTGTTTCTTGTTCTATCACGAAGGTAGATTTGCAGCTCTGATATAATGCTACTTTTATGTTAATTCTCGTTTGTTTTCCAGTTGAAGTTCCTGGCTGTGAACCTTATCGCGAGTATTTGTTTATATCGCTGCGTCAGCAGCCGCTCTGGCAGCAGCCTCGCTTCTGGAACACCATCTTCCACGATTCCATGCAGGCTGAACGCGAGCATCGGCTCAGAGCGCAGTTGCGCCGGCAGCAACGTAAGCAGGCAAAGCAACAACAGCGTCAGGCAGAGGCCGATGCTACAGTGACTGTGGAGGCTGTAGCAGCAGCTGCTGAGGCTACGCCTGCTCGCAAGCATGGCGCTGATTCCCCCTCCAGCTCCTCCCATCAGATAGCGCCGCCGGCGGCAGCAACTAATCGCAAGTCCAGCAAATGCAGCTTGGGCCAGTCGCAGTCCGCCAAGGAGCAGGAGGATATTGCATTTCGGCAATTGAGGTGCGTTATGAAAACTTAACAAGAGATAGAAAAATAGGAGAATAAAGGCTCTCGAACTAACAGTAGAGGAACAGGAAGAAATACTTCAATCCGTCTGTTAGCTTTATGAAAAACCTTCACATTCCTATTATTGTCTTCTTTTAATATTTCTAAAAAGACAGTTTATTGAATTCTCCGATTCTCTCTTTCAGTGCCTTTACGTGTAACATGCATATCCTGGGCACCACTCAGGATGTGTGCCTGGACTTTCTGAAGAAACATGTTGTAGCGCTCAACCTACCAAAGGGTGAGTGGACTATATATAAATATTTTATTACGTACATATATCCTTGATTAATATCCCAATTAACAACCCCAACTAATATGCCTATAAACCATATTACAGACAAAGCCAAGCTAATCAGGGATAATGTTTACCGAATGTATCATGAGACGGAGCTGTGGGGTGCTCAACATACTTAACGAGTGTTTCGCCTAACCAAATCCCAACTAATATACTACCCTAGCAGCACTTATTTTTCGACTATAATCTATACTATAACAAGAGAAAAACGTTTCAAATTTCGTCTCAGCTAAATTACAATTTTTGACTTAAACTAAAACTAATCTTGATGTAGTTACAAATTTTTACTCGCATTGTTGAACTATTGGAAATTGAATGAATATCAAATATAATAATATACATAAATATAAAAAATTATATAAATAACAAATATGAATTGAATACAATATTTATATCCGCAAATTGTGATAATAATATTTTGTGATTACTTTATATTATATAAAAAAGAAAAAGAAAGTTTTGCAAATGACATAAAAAATAACTAATAATAATCCAAATTTCACAAGAGACAACCAACAACAAATAATAAACTAAAGAAATATTCTGTAATATCTGTAATATAGGAACAATAATTCCCATTTAATAAAACCTACTAATAAAGTTTAATAATTTCAATAATATTTTTACTAATTCAAATGGAGAGTAGGTCCCAGGTTTAATCATAATAATTGAGTAGAATAGCTGAACTTTTTTTTATTAATTTTTTTAAATTTTATATGTATAAAATGTTGACTAATGCAAAAGGTGAAACGTGGCTCTGATCTAAAGATCGGCAAGTTCCACTTTACCTTCCTAGCCATTCCCAGTAGTTCTACCATTAAATTTTCACAGTTATTTACTTTTCAAAAACGCATGTTTAATAATTGTACTCTTGATATTCGACGCAGTAGGCTATCCATTACTCTATAAGAGAGAGCTTAAAAATTATCTATATATATATAGCCATATATTAATTATTATTGCACGTCAGGAACAGCTTTGATTAGTTGTTTCCTCCATAGCCTGAAATGTTTTAAATCTGAGGAATTGTTTCATAGACAACGATGTACGTGAACTTACCTCTATATTCTTAAATATCTTATTCATTTTTTTTTTTTATCATATCTTATAGCACAATTTCTACAACAATTATAAACCTAAATATATTTATTGTTTATATATATAACATTTTTTGTAAAGGAAAAAATCCTCTTGAATTTATCTATTGGTGGAAAATGATCAACGACGAAACTTTTGTCCGTCGTCTGCAACATTTTTTTGGGATTGCAGACAATTCGTGTATTGCGAGTCGTCTTATATAGGGTCAAACATGAGCGGAACGAAGATTTGATTTGAAATAGGTACAAGTCTATAATTATTTCTGGTAATATTAGCAATGCTTCATTATGAATAGTTGTATAACATGGTCTATAAAGATGTCCGGAGAGAAACAGGGGAAGATCTTGAGAAATGGACTAGTAAAGCGGAACAAAGACACCTGTCTGCGATTATACATCAGTATTAAGTATTAAAATAGGCTATAGCGCTACGTTTATGAAGAATTGGTAGTTTTTCATTGGATGTCCCTCTTATATTCATAAATATTCTTTGAACCACAAAACAATGCTCATAAATAAATAGAAAAATAGATCCATTTTGATATATAGGTTTAGTTGTTTTTTGGTCACTTTTTCCAAAACTTATGAAATAAAATAAAATTTCTAGTTTAACACTTCTAAAAGATAATTATTAATAGTAGTTTAATAAAAATGGCTGCTTAAATTAAATTGAGCTTATGCTCTCTAATAATAATATAACATAAATTTTGCATATTTGTATGTGTAGCATATAAAATGCATTTTATTTTTGCAAAATAAAATAAACGAAACTATTGCATGAGCCCATAATGAAGTCGTGGTATATGCATACATATATATATATCGTATATATATAAAACAAAATGAATTCATAGCACTAAATATGTTCGATCTCGCTGGCTATAAAAGCTACATGGTAAATGTTTAGTTTTTATATTAATTTTGCCAAGTCTGCGCTCTAGTTACTCCCATTTTCCAAGCTGGCGATGAGGTTTTTCGTTTGCTCCTGGCAATAGTTCTCTAGTTCGCTTCAAATAGTTGTCGCTCCATTGTGTGGAGCAAGAGATGGTTCGGTCTACGGCGCTCTTACGCCTCGCCTGGGGGCACTCGTGTTTGTTTGCTCAGATCGTATTTGTACATGAAGACGCGTCCGTTCGCGCCCGCAGCAAAAGTTTTGTCCGTTTGCCAACTATGAAAATATATGTATATATACATATATTATATATAGATATATATATATAGACATGGAGTTATTTCATTTGATAGATTAGATATCTACGATCTACGCACTGCTTGGCTGTCGTCTGCGTCGGCTCTGGGTCAATGTCTTTGTGCAGGCGCAGAATGTGCTTCTTCAAGCCCTCGCTGCGCACGCACGCCTTGGGGCAGTGGGGGCACTTGTAGGGCTTCTCGCCCGTGTGCTCCAGGATGTGCGCTTTGAGATCACGATTTTGAGCGAAGGGCTTGGGGCAATAGGGGCACTTGAATGGCCGTTCGCCCGTGTGTCCGCGTATGTGTCGCTGCAAATTATCGTTGGTTGCGAACGCCTTCGGGCAGTGCGGACAATTGAGGGTTCTCTCGCTCGAGTGGCGACGGATGTGCTTCTGTAGATTGTCATTGGTGGCAAAGGCCTTGGGACAGTGCGGGCAAATGAGCGTCCTTTCGCTGGAGTGTCGACGGATGTGCTTCTGCAGGTTGTCCTTGGTAGCAAAGAGCTTCGGGCAGTGTGGGCAGCTGAGTGTCCTCTCGTTCGAATGCCTGCGTATGTGCTTCTGCAGGTTGTCATTCGTCGCAAACGATTTCGGACAGGTGGGACAGAGGAAGGGTCGCTCGCGATCGTCAGAGTGTGTGCGTGTGAGATGCACCTTGAGATTGCTGCTCGTTGCGAAATCCTTGGGACAGTGGGCGCACTTGAAGGGCTTTTCGCTGCCGGTCTGAAATCTGTTTAGGGAATGAGGAAATTATTGACAAGATCAAATTTACTCAACAGCAAAATTGTCCCACTTTTTTACTGTTTGTTTCTCTGCTGCTTGCCGCTGTTTATTGTCAGTGCTGCTGGCATTGGCGCTGCTTTGCCACACAAAACTCATGTCCTGCTCGATCTTGACCAGGCCCAAATCTCTGTGTCGCATCGTCAATTGCCAATCCTGATTCTTGAACATATTACAAATGGCCTCACACTGCTCCTCCTTGACGCAGGCCACATCTATCGTTTGCGCCATCACTTAACAACTATCAATTTAACTTGCACAACTCTAAATCGTTGTTTCAATAAGAATTTATCACTTTTATTGCAATTTTCTTAGGGTAAACAGCTAAAAGCTGAACAAGAAATTCCGATGAATTTTTTTTTGTTCGATATATCGACAAACTGTCAGCACAATTGTGATGTGCGCACAGCTGTTTGGCAGGCAAGTTGGCAGTGCCGCTTTTCATATATAGAATTGGGAGAAATATCGATTAACCTCATTGGCCCGATATATCGACAAAGTCTCAGCTCAATTGCATGCATACTCACAGCTGCTTATCAATGGTGTTGCCACACTATTAAAACAGGTAAAAATCGTTTGTTTGTTGGCGGCAAATTAAAAATATTCAACTTGCACTGACAATTCTTATTTTTCCGTTTTTCTGCTTTATCTCCCACAAAAAAATGCAGTTTCTATTTTTTAAAGTTTTATTTATTCATTAATGCAACAAAAAAGAAGTTACTTAAAAATTTCCATAGCTATAAATCTCAAAAACAAAGCTTAGAACTTTAACACAAAATTATTTTCCTGGAATTTGCCTTTGTTATTATTCTCGTTGCTATTACTAAAAATTGCACTAAAGGATATATATATATAGATAAATATATATATTTGCAATACTTTTTAATACATCTAATTGGATGCACGGACATTGTTTTTTTGTTTTTTATTATTATTATTTTTGGGAAAATGTGATAAAACATTATATTTTACTTTTTCTTTATGTATTTTATAGAAAATAAAAGATTTCTATGAAGAATTTTGATGAAAGGCAATATTAATAACATTTACAAAAATATAAACTAAATACAACTGACAAATTAATAATATATGTTTTACATGAATTTACAAAATTATAAATTAAATATTAATTTAATGATTAACTTATTAGAAAAAAACAAAGAAAAGCCAGAAGTTATATTTAACAACAATTGCGGGTGTACGATTTAAACTTTTGTGAATATAGCGCTTAATATTTTTTAAATATTTATTTTAAATTAGATTTTGCTTTGTTATTAACGAACGTCGATATTATTTTCCCTTTCTTTTTCTTTATACTTCATATAAATATATACAATGCATTTACAAATTTGAACGCTCTAAGATAATTAGCTTGATTTTGTTGTTGTTGTTAGTTGGTCTCGAATTTCTTCACTAAGTTTTTGTTTTGTTTTTTTTTTTTTTTTTGCTCTTTAATAGCAATCACGCAAGGGGTTCTTCTCGTTGGTTTAGTCGATCAACAGCTGGAAGGTAACCGAACCCATGCGATCGCGTAAGCTACCGCTATAGATGATATTTTTAGCCCATGCCCGACATTCCACGTCCAACATGGTGCCCAATGGCGGAGACTTGATTTGCACAGCAACAATGGGGCTCAAATAGCCAGGCTGATTGAGGTAGGGATAGTAATAGATGGGGAAACCTTGTCTGGGATAATAGCTGATATTCTGGAAATTCTCCTTATCCTTGCCCAAGTGTCCATTGCATGAGACCCAGATTTGTTGACGCTGTAAAGTTTAAAATGAATCAATCAATAATTGCATTGTTCAAACCTTCAATCATTCATTCTCTGCCTGTCGATAAGTCATTTAGTCACTCAGTAATTTCAATTACTTAGCACATGCACACGAATATCCTTATTTATAGATAGAGCATTACCTCCTCAGCAGCCGTATTATTGATGACATTTACAAGATTGGAGGGCATGTCGTTGATGGGGCTTTCGTAGACTTCTGGCATCCATCCAAAAATCTTGTTTAGCTTCAGAAAGATGCAGGGTTCGGCCGTCTTATAGCCATAGCTATTTGCCGATGAGCACGGTCCAAAGCTCTCAATATTCACGACGCAAACATCGTTCGGATTGTGGGTTTGCTTGAAATCGCAATGTTTCATCTGACGACCCTCAGTGTGATTATAATCTATATAGAAGAGCAGCATATGCATATGTATATGCATATTGATATTCATAACCAAAAGTGAACATTTCACTCACCCTTTAAGAAATCATCTATCAATTCAATCCAATAATCGCTCTCTGCCGGCTTCTTTATATCGAATCCAATCACCGAGCCACGTTCAGTCTGTTCGCTCAGTGGTCGAAAGCCCAGGCCGGGATTGGTGCCAATGAGGGATTGGTCCAGCTGCCATTTGGGCTGGTGATTGTCCACAGTGGACAACATGCCCTGCATGCATATGGTAAACAATATGGCGAGGACGATATAAAATATCGAATAGAACAAGAAAAGTTGACCTGGAAGAGTAAAAAATTTAGGAAATTAATAAAAACCTTAAATAAAAATATTTTAATATGACCGATAGATCGGTATTCACTAAATTGATTTTAACTGATCTTCGCATTCAGTTATTAATTTTACATTTATAGTTCATCTGTTAAAAATTGATAGAGAAATCAAATATTTCTACCAAAAATAGAAAATTAATCGATAACAATTAGACTGAATAATCGATCAATATTGAAAATAGCTTTAATTGCAAGTTGCAACACTTTGTTGCCATTGTTAATGCTGTTGTTGTTGTTGTTTATGAATTCTTTATACGAGGGCGTTACGTTCCTGCTGTGGCATCGTTGACAACCGGATAGAAACCGCAGCAAATGCAGCAATTACAATAAAAACAACAAACAGAGAGGAAGAAGAACAACAAATAGAACCAACTACTGACCACAAAGGCGTATACATAGATACATACGTATATATATATATATGTATATGTATGTGGTAGTATATAGGGTCTTTGTATATAAGTATTATTCGATTGTGTTTACGATTATTTCAATGTCAATAGCATTGACGACTCGCCAGCTCGTATCCAGTTTTTGCTCGTTTTCTTCAATCGCATTGAATGGATGCCCAACCCGTACTCGTAGCCCCAATACCTGCCGCTGACCCAACCCCATCGTTTGTCAACTGCATAAATAACGCAACGTCGGCAACAACCTAAAGAGTGAGGCTCGCGTTGCGAATTCCCAAAACACACAAATTAATCGTATGAATGAATATTGAATACAATGTCGAGTACAGCAGGCAACAAAAACTGGAAACGGGAAGAAAAACAAAAAACGTTCAGTAAAAAATCGAAAAGCATCTATCAGTAAGTAATCAATGTCAGCAAACGACTTTCCATATTGGATAGCTAAGTTGATTTGTATTGAGTTGCGGCCACCTCTGGCCTGGTCTAGTTCATTAAATTTATATACATGGGGATCTAATAGGGTATAAAGGGTATCATCCTAGAATATGTTTCGACTACCATCTTACAGAGTGTCCATTGGCAATAGGTCTGATTAGATCTATCAATATGTACATAAATGTCTCTGTATGAACTCTAGTTTTGGTGTCGCCTAACGATATATTAGAATATCTATACTTATAAATTTAGTCTAACTAGTTGAACAATTGCTAAATATATATTTATATATTTTATTTTAATTTATCAATTTGCTTTAATTATTTTGTTATATGATATACAACGACTTTATTACTTAGGCAATAATTTACCTAGCTGCATCGATGTACTCTACTTTTATGATATTAACTTTAGCTATCGATATTTAAAAGTATTATTATTCAAATGGCTTTAGGAGTATTTTGGATACAATGTTGTTGGATTTACAATTTTGGTATCCAATAAATTTTCTCTATTTATACGTGGAATATTAGATATACAGATATTAGATATACAGAGATCCATTCACGTTAGATTTGTTAGACTATGAATGCTTGGAATCGATACTTATCGATTTTCCTCAATTATAGAATGTAAAGTATCTAAGCATGCCAGCTTTATGCAACCTCTTTCAACTTATCGACAGCACATATTCCCTATACTTGAGGTATCTGTCAGTCAATCAGTCTTCTCCTTTTGCTGTTACCAAGCAGCACCAAAAGGAAAAAGAAGAATGAATTGCTTTCAAGTACAAGGAAATAAGTTTGGCAATGACCACACGGGGTTGGCAGTTGGCCCAGACGCCTGTGCCGCTGGTCTATGACGCCAGTCAGTTATTCCGGCTTTCTGTCAGACTGTCTCTCTCTCACTACGTCCAGAACACGTCGACTAGGGCGCCTGCAGCGCGTGCGTTACCAATATCAAGGCGTATGTACTGCGATTAGAAGCCAGCCAACATTCTTATGTCTTCAGCAATGTTCAATTACATGCACACACACCAACACACAGACACACACATGTATCTATATATAAGATATAAATACTTGACCCTAGTCTATGACTGTAATCGATAAATTTACTTCGAGCAACTTGAATATGGCTCAAACAATTACTTATGTATGTAGTTCAATATGATGGATAGCCAAACTGTATATGTCATATATGTATATATCAATAAAAAATACATATATGTATATGAATATACATCTAATACATACATATGTAATATAGTAAATGCCATTGCTATCTTTATCTGGCCTTGATTCGGATCATTCTGGTGTGCAGTTAGCTCGAGCTCCCTTGGTGGTCAAAGCACATCAAAATGTTTGTCATGCTTGTTGTAGTTTTTTCACAATTTAGTTTTTCCCCATTTGCCGCTGACATTTACATAAAACTGTCTTCAAATTGGCTGGCCCAAAGGAAATTACTGTACGCTCAATTAGCTAGCTGGGCCATTGTCCCCCACGTGGAGTTTGAGCTAGTTTAAAAGGTTACGATTGGGTAAACTATAAAGAAGCTAATTGGGATTCGATAAAGATTGAATAATTAACTTAAATTTAGCTATATATAGTAGTAATATAAGTAGACATAGAAGCTCAGTTATACAGCTTATGTTAATGCCTTCATGCTGATGATATCAGGGAATCCTTCAAATCTTCTCTTGACTTTTTGCTAATGACTGAATTGAGTTGCGTAGGGTCAAGTAAGGGTCAAGTTGTAAAAAGTCTTATATCATTATTTTTCATATTCCGCTTCTAGACCTCAATTGGATTTAGGGTAGCTGAACTCTTTGCGGATCGTAATAATAATTTTAAGACTTTTGGCATTTGCTGCTTGTTTCTAGTTGATCTATTTTCGTACCTGCCAGAGAGACAGCGAGAGAGGGAGAGAGAAAGGGGATGAGAGTGAGAGCAAGTGCGAGAGCGAGAGATGGATGTGTCGAATGAAA